TGTTACACCCTCCCCCCGTTAGGACACAACGTCCTCGTTGGGCCACATCGATCCGGGTCTGGCTCTGATACCACTTGTAACGCCCCCAGAACCCCGTAGCAATGATATTGTCCGCTTTGGCACGCTAAACCACACCTGTTATGAAGCTGGATGTGGCTCGTTACGTGGAGAGATGCGTGACATGTTTACAAGTGGTATCAGAGCCAGACCCGGATCGATGTGGCCCAACGAGGACGTTGTGTCCTAACGGGGGGAGGGTGTAACAACCCGTCCCACATCGGTTGGTGAGGAGAACTAAACACTCCTTATAAGGGTGTGGATACCTCAACCTAGTATGACGCGTTTTGGGGCTTGCGTTGTGCGGCTGCCAGAAACAAAACCGTGCGGCTACTGCTTTGTGGTTTAGCGGGCAGGTTAGTCAAAGCGGACAATATCATTGCTACGGGGTTCTGGGGGCGTTACAGTAGGTTCAAGTCCCATAGTTGTCAATTTTGTTTTTTTAGCTTAAATTTTGACGTTCTATATATATATATATATATATATTAAATATATATAGATCAGACTCGTGAATATGTTCTTTTTATGTAAGGATAATGAACTAACCAACAAATTTATACTAATATTGTAAGAAAAAAGTTATATTAAAAAAAAGTTAATAAATATATGATTTTAGAATTAATTATCGTGTGGATTATGAGAATATATGGAATCCTAGGTTACTCTATAAGAGATCTTAAGGAATAAGAAGAGAAGAAAAATTCCAACATATATAAAGCAAAAAATGATTTAAATTTACCTGATGTGGGACTCCAATGCACTCCTTCCAACTGAGGTTAGATGGCACAGATTGTCTCATAGTGTTAAGAGGGAGAGAGCTAGACAAATACATATTTCACGAAGTGTCGAATCTCTAGAGTGATAAACTTTGACTCTAATAATATGTGAAACCTTAGGTTACTTTCTAAAAGAATCCTTAAAGAAAAAAAAGATGTTCCAACACATATAAAAATGAAATGATCCAAGTTTAGTTATACAAAACACATATCAAGCAATTAAATTAAAACTAAATAAAGATTTTGTAAAGAATAATATATATATATATATATATATATATATATATATATATTTGAAAATAGGTGTAGGGGTATTTGTATAGCATCAACAGACAACACCTGATTATGATTCCTTTGACATCATCAAAATATATGCAACTTTTTTCATCTTTATTGGTTTTAAATTCTTTCTGATTCCATATACAACCATTAAGACTGATTCACGTGAGATTTGACTGTTTTCATGCAATTATTTTTTACATTTGAAATTTTATAGTAAAACACTATAAAGGTAACAAATCTAAACGTTCACAACAAAAACATTGTGAAAATTATCTTTACAATGTTGTATTATTAAATTTCAAATATAAAAATATGATTTCATGAAAATAAAAAGTTGAACATGTGTATGTATAAAATTGTATTTGATTCTTGTTATTATTAATTGGATACAATTAGTCAACCATTAATAAAAGCGGAAAGGACAAATAAATATATAAAAAGGCAAGAAATCGAGATGGGTCCATAGGCTTTACCGACAAAAGATTTGAAGACGCTTTTCAAGATTAAATAATTATTACAACATAAATATATGAATTTAACAATTATCTAATTAACCTTAAATTCTTATCTATATTATATTATAAAATATTTAATAAAAAAAATTTAAAAAATTATTTTTTATTAATGAAATACTTATTAAAACTTAATGTTTGAATTCGATTAACTACAGATAAACATAATCAAATAGAAGAATAAACATTTCATTTTAAATATAAAAAATCTAAAATATAATTGGAATTATCGTTGATCTCAAACAGAATACTTAAATTATTATATTTATAAAAAATTATGTTATTAAATAAAAAATAAATTAGTTTATTATTAAATCTAAATTAAATTATAATACAAAAAATTAAATTAAAGAAAATTGCACAAAAAACGAGAATTTTTAGATTGTTAATTCGATACTAATATCGATGTATTTTATAAATTTTTATGATATTGAAACATATCTTGCTGTATTATGCGAGTATCCTTCTAGTACTTTTTAAAATACAATAAATAAATATTGTAAATATATTATCTCTCTTATGGATCGTTTATCAAATTCTATTTGAGTGGTTGATATATCTCGTAATAAAATAGGATCTTAAAGGAGGGTTAGATGTAAACAGACATGAACACGGATGCTACATTTAAAAGCTTTATAATAATGTTAAAAGAAAAAGGGCAAAATGTCAAATCCAGTGACGCAACATGTCGTGAAAGATTCCCTAAATCCCATACAAGATAATGGAGTTAACATCATTCACAATGAATGCACATGTTTTCCTTATCTTAAATGTGTTCTAACTTTATCTTCCATCCCTCCAATACAATACAAACAAAAATCAACTCACTTATTCATTAATGAATCACCGAGTTTTAATGGGTACGGAAAAGGGTATTTTAGGAATTACCACATTCATGGTTTTTTACTAGTTTAGCATATAGAAATGTAGAAAACCACAATGCATATGTATGCATCAAGAAAACTGGCTGTATGGTACTTTGTTGAGTTAACTCAGCGAGTTTGTACGAGTTCAAATAGTAAGCGAAACAGTATGCAAACGGGTATTTTTGGAAGAACCCGTTTGTAGATTTCGACTAAGAATGAACTGATCTAGGGGGAAAAAAACTAGAAACCAAACCGTTTACCTGAACCATCAAGAAAACGGTCAGTATGCCACCCTTTTGCTTGTATTTCCGGAAGCAATGTGGGCATCACCAACTTCATCTTCTCGTACGCTTCTTGTAACGTGCGGGAATTCCATTCAGAAATGGATTTCTCCATTTTGGAAGCGTATGCCGCCACCAGCCACCCTCTTAACGCATCTTCACCGGTGGCGTTGTGCTCCAACACCATGTCCGTCCACCTGTTTCCGCAACTCAATAGAAATTTCTCATCGGGAAAGATTTCTTTGAGCTCCGCTAATCTCGAGCGCTTGATTGCCTTGTGAAAATCTCTTCCCACTTTAACATTTCCGGCATCTTTTATGAGTTGCCCGGGAAACAAAAGGTCTTCTTTGTACCTTAGGTCTACAGGGCTTGATACCTTTCCTGTCTAAATCATATATTTTAATATCAAATGTAAAAAAAAGATTATAGTATTCGTTCATACCATTCTCCTCATTGTGGGTCCCATTGTCATTTGTCTGGCTAACGACAATGGGACCCACAAAATGAGAATGTTGCATGGCATAAACGAATGGTATAGATTAGATTACAGAACCTCGGAGCATCCACAATGGTGCTTATTTGAAAGCTTATTGGCTACATAAAAAGCTCCAGGCAGAAAACCTTTTTTGCTGGTGCGGTTTTTGAACGTGGGACCCACTTTTTTCGCAAAAGCTCTGCCATTGTCGATGCTCTTTAAAGATAGTTTTATAGCATTTGTTTAACAACCTTTATGAAATCCTCTACGATCATTGCGGTTCGCTGTGGATTTAATGTGTTCACTGGAGCCGCTCGCATTTCTTCGCATACACTGTAAACATGTATTATCGAAAGGAGGGGCCCCGCAATCATCTGCATAAATAAAGGATTGTTAGAAGAATCATACAATGGGGGTTCTTCAGCAGTCATTGTAGAGTGCACTTGGTACACTGGACATGACTAGACAGGACATGACAGAACAAGAATCACAGTTCCACATTTGACAGAACTATTATGTAGATCGTACAGGAACAGAGTGGAACAGGTGCGTTCCATCCCCACCCCATGAAACAGATATAATATTTTACAAAAATAACCTCCAAAGAAAATTAATTCTCTTCTAAAACATCAAATATACCTCGTTCTTTACATTTTATTCATTACTTAAACTTTATTTGTTGTATTTTATGTTCTTTCAACTTTCACTTCACTGTCCTCAAAATATTATTTTTATACGGGTTTTATATTTTGGTTAATTTATGTAAATTAAAAAATAAAAATAAAAATAAAAATAATATAGAAAGGTATAAAATAAAAACTGGAAACTACACCAACTTATTATTTTGGAGTCACTTTAATCGTCTTAACAAAAAAATTCTAATGATATATTTTATTATAAAAATATTTATCTTATTATAATTTAATGAATTACATAAATTAATCAAAATATTGTTATGAACCGAAATGATTGAACAATTGAAATGGAAACGCAATAATAAGGACAGTGTCAAATGCTTCAATGAACAAGGAAAATGAATAACATAACTAGCATTCGAGAGGCTACGACCCTCCCATATAGAATTCACTAAGGGGCCGTTTATCAAATACTTACCCGGTAAACACTTATCTGTAAAATTCAACACTATCATTTACTTACCGGGTACGATTTTAGTCAACAAAAATGGCATTATATGCAACAATTTACCTGGTAAGCGCTAATCGTGGTAAGAGTCATTGTCCTCACTTACCGGGTAAGACTCTCGGTCCTTGCATCGTTCTTACCGGGTAAGATTCTTGGTCTTTGTTATATTCATCCGGTAAGATAATTTAATTTGACAAGTGTTTACCCGGATAAGAATTTGATAAACGACCCCTAAGTTTCTGCATGCTTCACACTCCCTACAGCCTCCCTACTTATACTAAAAATTATTCCAAGAAGTGCCCAAATTACCCTTCTTAACTATTCTAAAATATTCTTAGGAATAGGCTCGGGCCACTAGATGGGCGCATGACAAATATATAAGAAAATATAAAATTTCATTAGGGTAAATTGGTCATTTTATCCGTTCTATTATGTCCAGCTCTATCTTACCAATCGCTAAACAGTTGTTCTGTGATATTTTGTCGTGCCTGTCTTGATACCAAACGCACGCATAAGAACCTCCATTGTGACCACAGGTTCTTACTTGGTCACAGATTCTTATAAGAACCCAGATGCTTGAACAGATTCTTGTACTTTTATTGTTTCTGCCATATAGAAAGGAGCGGTGACACAATGTAACATTGAGAAATCGACTGTACCTTCCCTTGAATTGATGAACAAACGGTAGAGGCCAATTGAATCCCTGCACCCAATCCGAGCACATTAAACACGGTTGAGATGGCCTCTCCTTTCGCAAATAAGTCGCTAAGATTGCCCTCTTTGGCAAACGAAGAATAGATCGTCAATCTTGTAGCTCTTGCAGCAACTACGGCCATCCCCTGTTGAATGACGGGAATAAAGTTTGTAGTTGTTACTCTTATGATGACTAGGGACGGGTTCAAATGATAACTGTAAATATTTTGAGAATAGGAGAACCAACTATTCATGTTTTATTCATAATGAATGTCATGGTAGATATCAGGATGCCTTTGGTATCCAGACATGCAGGACAGAAAACAGGACAATACAGTACAGTTGTTCAACGTTTGGTAAAACAGAACTGGACATGACAGGACAGATAAAATAACCAATTTACCCCTAATTAGTTGTTTATATATTTTGATTAACTTATGTAATTTATTAAATTATAATAAAATAAATTTTTATAGCAAAATATGTCATTAGAAAGTTTTTGTCAAGACGATTAAAATGACACCAAAATAAAAGGTTTATATAGTTTCCCATTTTTATAATATTTATTTATTATTATTACTTAATAAACTACATGAATTAACCAAAATATAGAAACCATATAAAAATAATATTTTGAGAACACTAAAGTGAAAGTTTAAAGAGCATAAAACACAATAAATAAAATTTAAAGAATAAATAAAATGTGAAGAGAGTGGCGTATTTGATGTTTTAGAAGAGAATTGGGTTTTATTTTGAGGTTATATTGGTAAAATATAGGTATGTTCCATCTTATTTCATGGGGTGGGGTGGAACATGTCTATTCCACTCAGTTCCACAATAGAAGTCCTGCCAAACATAGAACTGTGATCTCTGTTCAGTTTTGTGTTGTCCGGTGTACCAAACGCACCCTTAATGATGAAAATGCATGATATTCATGGTTATTCAGGGTTATTCATTATGAATAATGCATGGAATAGTTAATTAGTTGGTTTTCATGTTCTCAAAATATTGACGTTATCATTTGAACTTTCCTCACGATGACTAATGTAGAAATCGATTTACCACCAACTTACCTTTGCAAAATTCCCGAGGCCAGCCGTTTCAAGAAACAATTGTGGGCATAATGGCGAAAAGATTTCAAGACCGGTGCCCAAATCGTATAGCACATCAGCTACAGATCAAAAACACCTTCTTCAAGTCAAATATTTCATAGCTATAAAGAACAAAGAACGCAAAATACGATACAAACCCAATATCCTCCACCGTTTGGGCTCGGAATCCATCTGTGCACCTAAATTGCTACATATTAGCTTCCCCACGTGCTGCATTCCGTCTTTTAGTATCTGTACAACGTTAACAAAATTACTAAAACTTTCCTGTAGCATTTACTTGTTTGAAATCTTTGAGGTAACGGTTGTTTGTCACCCAACTAACTGCCGTTGCTTGTGCAGGGGTCGGTCTCAAGCCTGCAGCATATAGCAGTGACTGCAAAGGGGTAAAATTATGTATCTTTATGATATACTTATGTTTGCAGAATCTAAAGGGATTACGGGAAATGAATCAAGAAACGGGTGTTTTTCTAGGGATCGGAAGGAGGACCTGAGTTGATAACACGGAGAGTGCCGCGCTTGAGAAATGTTGCAATGCCCGAAACTGTGTGTATCTAAGATATCCTTCATTGACACTGGAGTAACAAGAGATGGTGGAATTGAATACTAAAAAGATGACATATTTTAAAAGATAAAAGGAGCTCAGAATCCATGTGGGACGGGTTGTCACATGGGGTCTGAGAGTGGGATGTATGGAGACCTGACCTCTATATCAAATACTATTTGAACGGCTATAGAGAAAACCAGATATTTACACGATATTATGTTTGATTAACTCACCTATACGGAAAACCGGATGGGAAGAATTTATTGACAAAGGATTCGGTTATTTTGTGGACAAACGGTCTTGAATCATCAAGCACCTTCAGCTAAAACACGAAAATCCCACAAGATTCAAAAGTCAGAATATATGATATTAAGAAGTGCTTGAGGTATTCATATATGAATCACCAGAACTATAAATAAACATTAAGAAGTGCTTGATGTATTCATATATGAATAACCACAACTATAAGTTTGTAAATTCGTTTATTCATCAAACATCTACAAAGATTAATGTTTTGTTAGGTTTTACAAAAACTCGATCAACGATGTGTTTTGGGTAACTCGTTTGATCAGCAAATGTGATGATTGTGAGAACCAATTAATCAAAAATGAAAATGCAGATTGAGGTACAATTGCATCAAAGGTATCAAGAACAAAGTGTAAATTGAAGCAACTAAAATCGAATCAGAACCCTCAAAACATGAGGCAAGTAATCTAAAAGTGCCCTATTTTCAAAATTGAAAGAGGTTTATCATAAATGTAAACGATGGATTGAATACTGACGGACAATTGGCCGTCCGGTTGAAACTGGAAGTGGCGGGAGACGGTGTCGGAGGTCTCAATCCAAGATACAGACACGGCGACGTCTTCAATCAACGCATTTCGCGGTTCGTTTTTGTGCATTTTGTTGTTTTCCTGCCACCATATAGTTGACAGGTGAGAGTAAGTAAGGAAAGAAGATTTAGCATTGAAATAGGGTTGATCGGAAAAGAGAAGATACCAACAAGTTGATGGGAGGAGAGAAGAGGATGAAGGAGTGGCCGCCGCCCAACGATTTGATCAGACCGCCGCACCGGTGAATTCAGGAGCAAACTACGAGGGATTTTAGGGATGGGGGTCTATGCGACGTCGTTTACAGCTTCGATATTTGATTTCATTCCGTTCACAAAAAATTAATTCTTTTTATAGCAAAACTAATTATTCGATTTTAGGGACTTGAAAATTATTGAATGATTTTGTGTAAAATGATTAAATGGTAAAAATAATTAAATTTTTCATGATATATTGTCAAATGAAATATAATTGTTTGGTAATTGTTTATAATGTCAATGAAATTAAGGCGCTAAATAGTTTAGGGAGGCACATGATACAAAATCATTCAGATGGTTTTAGAAAACCATCAATAGACAGACTTTTTGTTACCACACAAGATTTACCTCTTAACGATCTAGAAGTTGTCTCATAATGGAACAATTAAGAAGTAAACAAAACAACCCCTTACTTCACTGCGTAAAATTATAATCCATCAAAACAGTATCATATGCAACAATTTACCGATAAACGTTTACTGCGTAAAACTCATCATCCTTATCATCGCTCTTGCTAGATAAGATTTTCAGCCATTGTCAAGTTCATTTGATAAAGTAAACGGTTTGATAAACACTTACCAGTTATATGTTCATTAAACGGCCTTTAGTTTTCATATTTTCATATTTTGTACTTCTTTTGACCAGTAATCTACTAATTTTGTAACATTTAACATCGTCAATACTTGCTTAACAAATTATAAAATGTTTACGAAAGGGTTATAATCAAATGTACGATAAACTTAATATACATGTCATTAAATATTACAAGATCCGTAGATCACCGCAAACTACAAATTTCAAAACTTCGTTATATTTATTAAAAACGGTATTTGTTACACTAAACAAGAACTAATGTTTTTTTTCAAACAAAAATTTGTTTTAACACATCGAATATTGTTTTTAATATAGAAACCTAAAATGACTAAAATACCCCTTTAAACTAATTGAATTAACAAAATCTTTTAGACGGAATTGGTGACAGAGAGGGACCAATGCATTATAAATTATAAACCATAAGAATGCAATCCATAGATATTTCAAAACAAAACCCAAAGTGTTAAAACACATCAATCACAAAGAGATTCAGGGGCCGTTAACCAAACGTTTACTCGGGTAAACGTTTACTAAATCACATTATCTAACGGGATAAATATGGTAAGGACCAATAATCTTACCCGATAAGAGCGAGACAAGAACCAAGAGTCTTACCCGGTAAGCGAGAGCAACGACTCTTACCACGGTAAGCGAATACCGGATAAATTGTTGCATGCGATGTCGTTTCAGTGGACTAAAATCTTACTGATAAACACTGACTGGGTAAGTATGTGGTAAACGGCCCCCTTACTCTTTTTTTCATATTGAACATTACAATTAATCAACTTAAAACAAAATAGTATTAGAAGGCTTTGTAAATACCAAAAGATAAGATGCCCTGCTTGAGGAATTCATTTCTTAATAGTTGGTGTAGAGCATCACATGAATGTGCCCTAAATTCATAGAAAATTCCAATATGTATGTATATACATCAAGAAACATGAATCTTTAAGACACCATTCCACTCCCTAATTATAATCGAAAACCCTAATTTTCAATTGAACCCCTTTCTGAATGAGCTCTAAACGAGAATTACTACTCGAATCAAATCAAATCAGGATCATCTTCATAGTCGAAATCCGGTTCACTGTACTGCCTGATTCTTCTCACATCCCTCGGTCCTGGTCTACCTTTCTTCGGCTTTCCCCTGACCAAATAACGCATTCTTCAGGATTTTGTGTACCAGTTTATGTAGTTGAATGGTTTCCAAATCATAAGAGTAGTCGAGTTAGTAAGGTGGAAGGAAGTGCTTACGGTCCCAACCCAGATGCAGCTCCCATTGCGGCATGTTCTTCGGTCTGAAAACCACATAAAAGTTGAAAAAGATTGTAACTTGCCACACAGAAGTCGAAAAAGATCGGAACTTGCCACATAGAAGTCGAAAAAGATCATAACTTGCCGCACAAAAGATGAAAAAGACCATAACTTGCTACATAGAAGCCAAAAAAAGACCATAACTTGCCACATAGAAGCCAAAAAAGACCATAACTTGCCACATAGAAGCCCAAGAAGACCATAACTTTCCACATAGAAGCCAAAAAGACAATATATTCCCACATAGAAGCCCAAGAAGACCATAACTTCCCACATAGAAGCCCAAGAAGACCATAACCTGCCACATAGGATCCCAAGAAGAGCACAACTTGCCTTATAGAAGCCTTAATAGACCATAACTTGCCTCGTAGAACCCCAAAAGACCATAACTTGCCTCGTAGAACCCCAAAAGACCATAACTTGCCCCATAGAAAGCCCAAAAAGACCACAACTTCCCACATAGAAGCCCAAAAAAACCATAACTTTTGACATAGAATCCCCAAAAAGACCATACGTTGCCACATAGAAGCCCCAAAAGACGATAACTTGCCACATAGAAGCCCAAAAGGACCATAACTTGCCGCATAGAAGCCCAAAAAGACCATAACTTGCCACATAGAAGCCTTATAAGACCATAACTTGCCACATAGAAGCCTTATAAGACCATAACTTGCCACATAGAAGTCAAAAAAGACCATAACTTCCCACATAGAAACCCAAAAAGACCATAATTTCCCACATAGAAGCCCAAAAAGACTATATACTCTTGATATACAAACTAAAGCATCTAATCAAGAAAAAAGTTATTGGGAGGAAATACAAACTGAGACCAAGAAACAGAGGGGGCCGGGTGAACATGCAAATATTAAAAATAAATAACGGGAATCAACTTCTGGTGCACAACATAGAATCATAAGAAAAACAAAACATACCGCAGGTGAGGTAACTGAAGATAGTGAAAAGAGCCTATCTTCCGGCTGAAATTTCCTAGATCGCTTGTAGCTGCAATCACACCAACTCAACTAGATTGTTGTAATCCTCAAATAACATGAAAATTACGGAATTGCAACATTTACTTTTTTGGAAATCGAGAATGCTGATATGGGTATTGTAGACATTCAACAAATAGTTAATCGTGTTACTTCAAACTATTTATTGGACGGATGGAGTATTAAGTGTACATGGTAAAGAATACAGAGATGTATTGTAGAAAGTTAAGGGAAGGGATTTTCGGATTTACAGTGAAGTACTCTTAGATGCCGACAAAAAACCTTCATAACCTTTTAACACATTTCCACATTGGCTTGGATCCTGTAAATAAGCCGTCTCCATGTCATAAACCTGAAATAAAAGTTAAGACATCAAGGTTTTTATGGTATCCCGAGAGTTATAAGAAACTTCAACCATCTGACGCAGATACGGAAAGAGACCCCTGACTATTTGAGAGGATGAACAAATGCACCCTTTGTGATGTTCTCGCTCGGCAAAGAAGCGAAATGGCCTTTGTTTATTCCAATTATATGGAATAAACAAGCATTCAATGACTATATAGTAACCCTAGATTTTATACCTTTTTAAGTTTTTTGTGGGAAAATACTTTGGTACGTTCCATGAAACAATATAAGATCAAACCAAACAATCCCAGTACATCCCTCCTGGAGGTGGGGGTCTGGGGAGGCTAAGATGTACGCAAACCTGATCTCTACCTAGAAAAAAGTAGATTGTTTGTTTCCCTTAAGATCCCCAACATGTGAGAAGTGTGACCAAGAGAATATATTGATATCAATATGGGTTATAAAATGGCGTTATGCCCAAGGTTGTGTAAGCAATAATAATTTAAATTCATGAACAATCAGACTGCGATGACTATAGTCATTCTGTTGCAATGGGTTTTTCAGAAATCAGAATCACCCTTATCTTCAAGGATCAACAAAAAGAAAAACACGGTGAGATGGCGTGAGTGAGACTTCCGTGTGGGTTTGGATCAGGTGAATGTAAGAAATTATCCTCGCTCATTAAAACGAGACACCATTAAACAAAGAAATAAGTGTGGGCCACCATTAGAAAAGAAAGGAAGATCCAAGGTTGGAAAAAGAAGCAAAGAAAAAAAACACGAATTGATTGCTTGACGCATAAAGAAAATACTAAAGAAACAAGAGGAAGAAACAAGAGGGACCTAGAAGGGATCCCCCAAATCACATGTAGACGCACGTAAAACACTAAAACCAACCCAAATAAGAGCAGTATATCCCACCCGAAGGTGGGGTCTGGACTCTGGAGGGCCAGACGTATGGAGACCTAACCTCCACCCCAATGAGTATTGCGGTTGTTTCCATGAAAATGCAATGCTATAAGAAAGTGTTGTGAGTGAACCACAAAGGCAATGGCCAATTAATTCACAGAATTCTTGTGGTTGTGCAGGGATTTGGTAGATAAAAGGATAACTTTGTTGTATTTTCTTCAATAGTGAAATGGGTGAGTGGGGACTTGAATGGATGCAAACAATTGTGTGTCAGAATCACAAAAGCTATGTACTTTCCTTTCTATTCATCTAGGTTTGCTTATATTCCTAACACTATAGCAGTGAGCTATGGTGGGATTCTGGATTACTAAACAAAAGTCTAATAATCTGCTAAGCTACATCATTGCTCATAAAACTGATTCTACCCACTTGCGGTTAGCCGATTACAAGCATTCTTCATTAGGGTTAGATACCTAAAGGATCCATTTCATTTGCTATCAGGAACATTCTAGAAGTGAACTTTAATTGTGGAAAGCAGGATGAAGATTATATTTCACACCACTATACCTAAATCTGGAGATAACCCCATAAAATCTTGAAACTTTCCTTATTTAGAAGGCTCATGAAAACACTTAAACACACCCAAGAGGTGAAATTATGAATCTTTTGCTAGCTTGATCAAAAGAGCTTCAAACAATGAAAATTTCCATTTTTAGAAGGTTAGGTCAAAGTTAAACACACACTTTAATCACTTATAGATATGAAGCTTTTGTTCACTCCATTGTTGATCCAAAAATCTTGAACATCAAACCAGAAAGAACCTACGAACCCGTCAAAACAAACAAAAGGCCTGATAAACGATTATAAAGACATTCGAGATTATAAAGGTTGTGACAAAAGGCAATCAAGAAAACATTATGAGACCTGTTTTTCGATGGTTCGAAGATCCTCATGATGTTTGGCTCTTTTGCATAAAAGAGCTGCGATCACGGCTGATGGGTTCGAAGAGTTTTGTTGCCCTAACACACAAAATTGAATATTAAAAAGAAATCGAAACACTAACTGAAAGGTTTAATAAGAAAAAACAGAACAAGGGGGCGCCCCCCATGATGATGAATACCTTCAGATTCCATGTTTTTTTACTGCGAATCTGCGATTTACAGTTTGTGATGGTGGGCTTGTATTCTTCTCGTAGAAAACCCTTTTGGTTGTCCTCGGAGTTTTCGAAATTAGTAGAAAGATGAAAAGCAGAGGTTAGAAACAGTAATAAATGCATTTTGTTGTATCACCAAGAGTAATGCGTAATTAAAAGGTATTTTTTTTATTAATTATTTAAAAGAAAAAATGTATCAAAGAAATAAATGGAATATTAAAAAGGAATAGAAATTTGAAATATTAAATAATGATAAAATAAAATATATTAAACGGCACTTTTTGTTTATAATTGATTGATTTTCTTATTTGATTTATAAAATATTTGATGTATTATAAGGATTTGATAAAAAAAATTAAAAATTATTTTTATGTATGAAATATTGTTTATTTATGTGTATCTATACTATATTATAAAGTATTTGACAAAAAAATTTAAAACCAATTTTTATGCATGAAATAATGTTTATTGATGCATGTTACTTAAAATTTAATATTGCAAGTAAATTCTGTTTAAGTACCATTTATTAAAACTTCATATTCGTGTAACTAACTGCAGATAAACATAATCAAATAGAGAATAAACATCTCACTTTAAATATAAAAAAAATCTAAAATATAATTAAGATAACCATTGAGTACTAACAAAATACTTAATTAATTTCTTTATAAAGATTATATTATTAAACCAAAAATTAAAAAATGAAATAAAGAAACACACAGAAAAAGAAGAATTTTCAAATAGTTAGTTTGATACTAATATCAATATTATTATTTTTAATTTTTTATGATATATCTTTATATTTATATTTATTAAAACCACGTAAAATTGTATTATAACATAGACTGAGACAAAAAAAACGAAACATTAAAACCGAGTGTATCTTGCTGCATTGTACCGGTACTGTTCTAGTTATATTATAAAGTATTTATTCATAGTCTTGTATCAGTCTTCGAAGCATTTACGATTGTTAATTACTCCATATCTCTTATAGCATCTCCAACAAATTTCGGGATTTAAGGGATTTTTGCAGATTCTTTAAAATCTTTTTTCAAAATGGAGAAAGCAGGAGAGAGATAATGTGTCTGGAATTCTCTAAATTTTGAAAACTCTCTAAAAATGATTATCTATGAAAGAAAAAAACTATATTTTAGTATTTATACCAATGAGAATCCTTGAAATTAAATGTATACGAAAGATAAATAATATTTTATGAAAAATATTTTAATAATATAATTCAGATTGTAATCTCCAAAATTAATAAGCTCTTGGAAATGGATATAATTTTCTTCGGAGATTTTGACTTTTGATTGTTCGATCGGTTATCTAGTTATGGTCGATCGGTTCCAATGGGATCGGTTGACTTTCGAGACACCGTTACGGGTAGCAGATGGAAAAAACAATGCAAACCAAACTTAGTTTGATATAGGGATCAAATTCATCAAAAACACTAAACTATGGGGACCAAACATGCGAATTCACTCAATATAAATATATTGAGAACGGGGAAACCAGTCGCCGCGTGGGGAGCGTTTAGGAACCCACGACACACAAGGGAAAAAGGAGGCAAAGTAGCTTCGAGTCTGCACACCGCCATTAACAATCAAATTCGAAATCGGTATCCCACCGTCAATCGATTTCCCTCTAAATCTACTTTTGCGGTGGTCTTTGATTTCTTGATTCTGAACTTTGACGACTTGTTTTCGCATCGAAGGTTTCAGTCATGTCGTTCAGATTCAGAGGATCGGTACGTACTGATCCAAGATTTTCTGTATTATCCTTTATTGAGAATGAGTAATTCGTGTTTATAGATTCGATATTACATAGAATTAGGTTTAAAACATGTGAATATGGTTGGGGGTTATCTTCATTTGGTTTCACTACGTTCTTGTGCTGTAGAGAATGTAGTCAAATTATGGGTTTTTAATTTTCTATTTTCGCATCAAATCACTGTATAGATTTCTATTCTTGAAGTTGTTTGGTTTCTTTAATTGGGGAATTGGTGTTTGATGATCGTGTCGTCTGAGAGAGTAAGAGGGCTAGAAACAGCAAGATGCTGTCAAGGTGTTCGACAAAATGTCATCTGGTTATGATCTGAAAAGGGTCCCATGATTTACATGATAATGTTCAAAGGGGTGTTTTTTGTGACAAATTGTGGAAAAAAAGTATCATAAAATGTTTAATTTGGTATTTTTAATCCAAGAAAACAGTTGATAGCTGCAGGTTATGGTGATATTTTGCAAGGTCAATAGTTTAGTTTTAAAGAAAAACGAAGTTCAATGGTTTGAAAAGCCAATCACTTGTTTTAAAATTCGAGTGATATATTTTAAAGTACTTGGCTTTTCGTTGTACCGTTGATCGATTGCTTTAAATCCCTTCTTTTTCGACAATATTTGTATGTCGAAGCTTGCCCCAAGCATCGGGATGTTAGTGCTATGTTTTTAAAGGTGCGTTCTCGTATGCAGGACATGACAGAATAAAAGCTTTTGTCCAATGTCTGATATGACATTTAGACTATGACAGGCAAGACCAAGTAGGACAAAAATGCGATTTTTTGTCCCGCCAAAACCAGTAAAACAAAAATTAGGGAGTCAAGACAAGATTGTAAATTACTAAACTACCCGTTTTAAATTAAAACTTTACAACCTTGCATGATTCTTCCATGGGAAATTGACCAAAATAGCATATCTCCACAATCAACTTCACTTTTCAGCCACCTTTTCAATTGAATTCTCATTTTAACCGTAGTTTATGCAAATGTTCTTATGCATTTGCATAAACTCGATTTTCAGATTAGAAACAAAGAAAAATGATTTTTTGCATAAAGATTTAGATTTTTGCTCCTTACGCATATCATTCTTTATGCAAATGCGTAAAGACTACGTAAAGACCGGTTATTTTGGGAAAAGGCTCTTAAAAGTGAGTTGATTGATGGGATCGGCTATTTTCGTCAATTTCCCTTTTTTCACCTGCTACCTCACTCTCGTTCGTCCAGTCTTGTCTCGTCCCATCTTGTCTCCCAACCAAACGCACCCTCAAAGAGCATTATATTTATGGTCCAACTTCTCAATTAGGCTTGAATTTTTCTAATAAACAAGAAGGCAATACGTTTTCGTAAATTTATCGTGGCTCTCTAGTTCTTCGAATCAAAACTTGTTTTTGATGCTTTCGTGGATTGATTCTTACGTATGTCGTATTGGTTTGCAGCCAAATGCTTCTTCAGGTATGGGTGTTGCTGAGCACTGCAAAGGCACATTCCTTGAACTGCAAAGAAAGAAGGCTCACCGTTATGTAATCTTTAAAATCGATGAGAAGAAAAATGAAGTCGTTGTTGAGAGGACCGGCAGTCCTGCCGAGAGTTACCAAGATTTGACATCAGCTTTGCCCGACAATGATTGCAGATATGCCGTCTATGATTTCGACTTTGTGACTTCCGAGAACTGTCAAAAGAGCAAGATATTCTTCATCGCTTGGTTAGTTTTCCCGATCCCTAAGATTTGTGCCCAATTTAATTCACTAAACCGGTAACTTTCCCATCGGGTTATCGGGCATCTGTAAAGTCGGTTATTTCACCCACAAGCCTCTGCAACCAAAACTAACCAAATTTGGAGGGGTCCCATCACAAAATAGCCAACTTTTAGGGACGAAACGGGCTCTCCGAGCTCCCTCTTTTTTGCGAGATGGTCCCGCTAGTCGCTATAAAAGGTCACTCAACAAAAAGATCAGGTAATCTTTCGATGTATACTAGTTGTAAGCCTAGAAACGTCACAACGCTTAGCTAACAAAATAAGAAGCAACTAGTAAACCGGTCAAGATTCGTACTATGAAAGAAAAGGGGGAGCTCGGAATGCTTACTTTGCTAACCTGTTGACTATTTTGTACAAATGTCGAAAATATTCGCTATTTTGAAATCAAACCCCTACGAACGGCCCAACGTTTGGTAAGGCTGAATAAAAACAAGTAAAATGACCGATTTATCTCTAATGAGTTGGTTATATATTTTGATTAATTTACGTAGTTTATTAAATTTATAACAAAATAATTATTTTTATAACAAAATATATCATTAGAAAGTTTTCATCAAAATAATTAAAATGACACCTAAAAAGTTTATGTGGTTTCCAATATTTATTTTATCCATTTTCTACATTATTTTTTATGATTAATATATAATAAATTACATAAATTAATAAATATAGAAAACCGTATAAAAATAATATTTTGAGGATGGTAAAAAAGATAAAATACGATAAATAAAATTTAAACACTGAATATAATGTAAAAAGGAGACGTATTTAATGTGTTAGAAGATAATTAAGTTTTGTTTGGAGTGTTTATTGGTAAAATATAAGTTTGTTCCACCCTATGGGGTATGATGGAACAAGTCTGTTCTACTTTGTCCCTGTCTGTTCCACATAAAAGTCCTACCAAATATGGAACAAGGATCCCTGTTTTGTTCTGTTTTGTCCGGTATATCAAATGCACCTTTACTAATTAGAATGTTAGGGTTGTTTGGTAAACGATTTCCCGATAAGCGCTTACTATGTTACATTACTTTACCGATAAACATGGCAAGAAACGCAAAACTTACCCTGTAAGAGTAATGACAATAACATAAAGTCTTAGCTGGTTATTACCCGGTCAGTGCTTACCGGGTAAATCTTACCCGATAAGAAAGGATAATATTGAATCTTACTGATAAGCGCTTACCGGGATAAGTGTTGGGGTAAACAGCCTCTTGTGGTTTTTCTTCAAAACCAAGTGAATGCTATTGTTTGCTTTGAAATTTTTCTAGGTCACCTGCATCCTCTCGGATCCGAGCCAAGATGTTGTATGCAACATCCAAAAGCAGGATCATACACGAGTTAGATGGCGTTCACTACGAGATTCAAGCTACGGATTTCACCGAGATGGACCTCGAAGTGCTCAGGGAACGGGTTTACTAATCGCGTTTTATGTGTTAAAACGATTGATTGCTTTAAGGATCTTTTCGTGTATTTTGTGACGTATCATCGTATACAAATCCGTGGTTGCTTCTTTTTCTCTATTGTCTCCTTTAGGTTGCTTTTGGTACACACAGGACTAGATAGGATTGCACAGACAACAATGAGGTAGGCAGTTGAGTACTGTGGAAAGTTTTAGTGTTTTAATTTGATATGGGTAGTTTAGTAATTTACTAATCTTGTCACATATCTTTTGATTTTTGTTTCAATGTGGTCTTCTCATATCCCAGTTTAATATTGTGCCAAATGTGAGATGACAACTTTTCGTACTGTCATGCCTCGTCCTGTACTGCATACAAAATGCGTGTAAACATGGTAATAACAAGTTCGGAAAGTAGAAAGATAACAAGATTGTTATTATAAACTTCCAAAATCTTGTGGATTGCAATGGATTAATGGTACTCGATACACACTGTTCTAGCTAAGCCTACAGCGGTGAATCGGTGGTTTCCTTTTCGGTCTCGCCGGACATTTCCTCGAGCGACTTCCCTTTCGATTCAGGTACTAGGAAAGTACACAAAGTTCCCAGAAAATTAACCACACCCAACACAATCAGGGCGTTTTTCACTCCGATGCCAGCTGGATAGCCGGCATCGGTCTTGGTTGGATCTCGATTCTGAGCCAGATACAAGAACCCGAAAGCACCCACCATTGCTCCGAGTTTTCCCGATGCCGCTGAGATACCGTGGCAAGTCGACCGAAACCTAGCCGGGAAGATCTCTGCGGGGACCACGAAGGTGGTGGTGTTGGGACCGAAATTGGCAAAAAAGAAAGTAAACGAGTACATCACCACAAATTTGATATTGTTTTCTGGTCGAGTCCAGTGGTTGTAAGGGAACGCTAGTGCGAACATAAAGATCGTCATCATCGAGAAACCGATTATCTGAATCGTGAATCTTCCGATCCGATCGATCAAGAACACCGTGAACCAATAGCCGGGGACGGTACTGCAAAGAGCGATGAGTGTTTGTGCTCTTGCGATTCTATAAACTTCTTCGATGGCGTTCATTGTTTTCGCCGGAGGAATCCAACCGATGGCGGTGAATATGTCTTTCTGGAACAGATTCTGACTGTAAAATGCGATGTCGAGAAGAAACCAAGTGGTGGTGGTTCCGAGCAAGTGTAGCCCGTGTCGCTTGACGAACTCCTTGCTAAAAAGACCGAAATCGTTATTTCTGGATTTCTCGTCGAGCTTTTGTTGATCGGACTCGATCTCGACATTCAAGATTTTCGACATGTCCGAAGCCGCCTTGGTCGCGTTCTTCGCCACAAGGGCAGTGTAACGGGCGGTTTCCGGCATCTTTGATCTCGAGTAAAAAGTAAGTAAAGCCGGAAGAGCTCCAACCATGAGAATAATCCTCCAAACATAGTCCGCTTCAGGAACCGTCGACTTCACCGGGTCAACCTCGTATGACGGAGCTTTGAACCGAGCATCAAACACCGAAGACACGATTATCGCAAACACCCCGCCCCCTAAGATCCCAAACCCTTGCATTGCGAAAACCGCCGCAATAAAACCGCCACGAGTTTTCTTATTCGAATACTCCGACATTATGGTGGCGGAGAGCGGGTAATCGCCTCCGATCCCAAATCCGAGCCAGAACCGGAAAAAGCAAAGCGTAGCCATGACCATTTTTGGGTTGCTTCCGAAAGACAAACCGGAAGCAATGGAACAGAGACACATAAGCATAAGTGTGATACCATAAACCTTTTTCCGTCCAAGTTTATCGCCAAGCCACCCAAAAAACAACTGGCCGGCGAGGGTTCCGACGAGAGCCACCCCGTTGACGGTGGCTGAAACATTGGGCGGTAAACTTCCGGGCTTAATTGCGCCTGGTTTAGTGTAGTAAATGCGGCCGAGCATTTTGGTAACGAGAGAGATACAGAAGAGATCGTAAGCATCTGTGAAGAATCCCATCCCTGCGATGACAATGGCAGTGAAATGATACCATTGCGTTTTGGCGCCATCAAGAGCATTAAGAACTTTCAAATTTCCCGCCGTCGCCATCGATCGTCAATTTCGATTCTTGTGGAAAACCTTCAAATTCAACGATTCCGATCCCTGAGATGTCGCAATCCTTTGATTCCGTGGAATTAGATCTACAACTTACAAAAACAAACAGAAATCGTCAATTTTTAACGTCGATCGTCTTCTCCAAGTGATCCGAAGGTATAAATTCTTCCATTCGTTAATTCAGTAGGAGTATATGATGACAAAAACCCTAAATAATCCATGAATCTGAACAGAAAGAAACAAATCAAGTGGAAATCGTAAATCTAGAATTGTGGAGGTATATATTAGGAATGAGTAATATAGATCTAACATGAAGGTTGTGATTCATGTATGTATGTATGCATGCATGTGAAATCAAAAGATGGAAACATGAATTGAAGAAAATCAATCAATAAAGAAGTGATACAGACCTTTTGATTTGGTGTTGATGATGAAGATGGTGAGGTGAGGTGATGTGTGTGTGTATATATATGTATATATAGAGAGTATAGATATAGATATAGATATAGATATAGAGATAGATATGGTTATGCAGTAAATAGAGAGTTGTATGTTGTGGAGTATATTCTTTGGCATCTTCTTTCCTTGACTCCATACTTCTCTACTCCGCCTTCTTCGCATTAAATGTAACCACCAAATCTTTTTATCAGGCTTTTTTCCTTAATAAAACACACGCACGAACGCCCACACGTCTAATATATGTATGTATATATAATCATGTTCAAAACGAGAACGGTATCTATACTATATTATAAAATATTTAATAAAAATTCTTAAAAATTATTTTTTATGTATAAAGTACTGTATATTGATGTATATTACTTAAAGTTCAAAATTATAAGTAAATTATGCATAATTACAACTTATTGAAGCTCTATGTTTAAATTCGTGTAATTAACTACGGGTAAACATAATCAAATAAATGATAAACATCTCATTTTAAAATATAAAAAATCTAAAATATAATTAAGATAATTATCGAGTTTTAACTATTAACTTATTAAAATGCTATTTTAAATTTGTGTAACTAACTATAGATAAACATAATCAAATATAAGATAAACATCTCATTTTAAATATAAAAAATCTAAAACATTTAAAATAATTTTTAATTATGATCATTATAAAAAAATTATATTATTAAACTGGAAATAAATTATTCATTATTAAATTGTAATAAAAAAATTCAATTAAAGAAATTACACAAAAACGAGAACCTTCAAATACTTACTTTGATTCTATTATCAATATTTTTTCAAGTTTTTATGGAATCTTCAAATTTATATTTTATTTAAACATAAAAAGAAACATTAAAATCGAGATATATTTCGATGTAATACGCAAGTACCCTTATAATATACACACATAAATACAAGAATATCTATGTTTTATGAAAATACAAGAATTCAAATTATTTAATCCATAATAAAAAATTATAATATATCTTAAATATTGTTAATACCATTGAATACTTCTTAAGTTCATATGCTGATGTCTCTGTTGTCGATAACGATTTGATTTTGCTATGATAATAATGTCGTAATGTTTTAATAAATTGAATACTTCTTATTATGTGATTTTTCTGTGACGAATACGTCTACATTCATTGTTTTGTATGTTCATTATGTAATTTGTTGTTCTTTTTCCCATTCTACCTTTGAATGTTTCAATATTCTTAGAAAGAGGTAAATATTTATTTAATATTTTAATGCACCTTCAATTCTTCTAAAATTATAACTTAAAAAAATGATGAGTTTACAAGTTGTAATTTCCGTTTTTAACTTTGGTGTTGATCGGGTTTCGAAATAATATTGATGGAAAGTTTAAGGAGATAATTTTTTAATTGATGAAAGATGAGGGACCAAAGATGAATATGGTCACCTTCTTGTGATTCCAATATGTTGGTCCAATAGGTGGTTGGTTTTGGTGGTATCATATGGGGGGAGGAGATAGGGTGTGTGCCATGCACCGCCTTATACTTCTTTATCTTTTAAGGGGATGTTTATTAAATATTTATCCGATAAGTGTTTACCGGTAAAATTCAATATTATCATTTACTTTTCGGGTAAAATTATAGTCACGAAAACAATATCATATATAACAATTTACTCGGTAAGCGCTTACTGTGGTAAGAATCATCACTCTCATTTACAGGGTAACACTCTTGGTCCTTGTCTCGCTTTTACAGGGTAAGATTCTTGGTTCTTGCCATATTCATCCAGTAAGTTAATATAACTTCGTATGCGCATACCCGGATAAGTGTTTGGTAAACGTCCCCTTACTCATGTATAATTTGTTTTTGGAAGGCTTGTTGGGGGAGTTTTGGAGAGGTTTGGTGGTTTTTATTTAAAGGAAGAAAGATCCGGTCAAATGGTTCGATGAGATATTGGTTGATTTCGAACGAGGTGAGTTTTTACAAAGCTTTGGTAAATTATGTGTTATTACATTTCACGTGATTTACTTTGATACATGAAATTATGTGATGTATTTGGATTCGAAAATTATATGATGTATTTGGATTCGAATATTATGTCCATTGAGGCGTGCTCATCTCCCAAGCTTTGGGAGATGAGGGATGGGAGATAAGTGCTTTCATGGCCCAAGAGTTGACCGGTGAGAGTCTTCATCGTTAAGTGTTGACCAGTGACAGTGTCCATCGCCAAGTGTTTTTCAAGAAGGGTATTCCAAGCTTTGACTGTTGTGTTTGTGCATCATTTAAATCTTGTATAGTTGGCGGGTTTAACCGCGCTGAATGGCGGGCCAACCGCGATAGTTGGCGGGTTTAACCGCGATAGATGGCGGGCCATCTGCGATAGTTGGCAATAGTTTCTAACATTGAGATTAGAACTGAATGCATTAACTTGTTTTATCTATGTGATGTGATGAGTTATTTCAGAATGTGTGAAATAAGTTATCGGCTTATTTGATGTGAGAAATTGGTGATGTCTCATCATTTAGATGCGACGAAAAAAGTTTGTTATATCAAGATGTTGTATATTTTGTTACTATTACAAATATGTTTTGATAAATGCATCTAGTGATTATTCACCCTGTAATAGCAGACAATGAGAAAATCACTCACTAAACTTTTTGGTCTAACCCTCGTTTTTGTGTTTTAAATGGTGCATTGCAGGTCAGGTAACTAGATGTTAAAGGAAAGGAAATTTATGATGAGATAATATGATTACATGCGTGTGGATAATTTGAAAGAGAAAATTGTGGTAACTACTTTTATAATGAAACTTTTGTACATTTGGAACCGTATATGTAAAGTTGTATTTCTTGTTATATGAAATACGTGATGATATGCAAATGTTGGGAGCCTAAGGTTTTATACAACTGTTCACTCATTTGCATAAATAATATCCATTCTTTTTAACCCTTCCTTACACACACTAGCAAAGTACCTATTCATACACAAATGAAATGCAAAATTTTATTTTTATTGCAAATCAATATTAAAAAATAGTTTCAAAATTTATATCTGATATAAAAAATTGCATGTAGTTGAACATCTTTCGCTATATATCCATATGGGGTTGGGTTCACGTGAGACCAATATGTTTTCGTGACATCCTTAAAACCATTTTCTTACATTTGAAACTTCGTAGCAAAACACTGTGAAGATAAAAAGAAACCGAACCTTCACAGTAAAAACACTGTGAGGCTTACCTTTACAGCGTTTTGCTGTGAAGTTTTAAATATAAAAAGGTGGTCCTAAGGATCTTACAAAAACAAACTGATCTCACATGATCCCTAGTCTCTCTCTTTTTCTCTCTCTCTCTCTCTCTCTCTCTCTCTCTCTATATATATATATATATATATATATATGGGCTTATTCAAAGGAGAATTGAGTTGTTTGTGGTAACTGTGAGAACCAATATT